GACGTTGATGTGGGGCGTTCTATTCAATTGTTCTCCACTTTATCATCAGACAGGTTTTTGATGAAACTGAAGTTCACTAATTCTGCTTGGCTGGCTGGCCAGTGAGCCACTGGAGTTTGTCTTTATTTCCCTCCCCAGTTCTTGGGTTACAAATGCATGCCAGCCCCTGGCTTTTATGTGGCTCCTGGGGATCCAAACTCAGGTCCTCATGCTTACAAGACAGACGCCTTACCCACTGAGCAGCCTCCCTACCTAGCCCCAAGCTTATTACTTTTTAATGCACGCTTTTATGCAATGAAAAAATTTGTCCTATCATCTTCGCAGTCTAGCAAGAAAGCCTACATTAGCATATCATGAATAATAATGAGATTCCTTATGCAAATTTAAGAGAACTACAAACAGCTAGAATAAATATCATAGGAAGTCACATGGCCTTGAAGGGCTTATCTTCCTTCTGGGGATTATACAAAGCTTTTCCCAACTGCCATGCCACACCATAAATGAGGCCTTAGGAAAGGCAGACAGTCAAGAAGACCAGTATGTACAGATGAGATTGGATATTCCGGAGCACACACAGATAAGGCTCCACATCTACAAAAAAATCAAAACAAAAAAACATACAAAGAGTGGTGTTGACTGGCTACTTGTGCTTTGAATACTAGTTATATTTCATAACAACAGTAATGCACACTCAGAGAAGAAAATATTTCAGGGTGTGACATTTACAACTACATAAAAGTCCTATGTCTAGAAATCAACCTGACAAACTCTTTAAGACTATAAATAAAACTAGGAAGCATTCTGAGCAGAAACTTGAAAAAAAAAAAAAAAGAGGCCTAGGTAAAGGTAGCCTACTGCTTACTGGGATTTGGGAAATTCAACCTTTTTCTAAGAATATAAATTCTCCCGAAATGTATTCATGGCTTTAACCAAATTCTCACTAGGCTTTTGTTTTTGTATCTTATTTCATAGATGGATCCTAAAAACCAAAGGAAAAGTAGAAGTGGAGTGGTCAGGGGAGTTCTGAAGAGGAGCAGCATGAGGCAGCTCTGAGAGACTGTGTCTGGTGCCAGCCTGGAGCACAGCCAAGGAAGACCCTTAAAAGACTCAGGTTGAAAGGGACAAAGAAAGGGTGACTGTCCAGAAAAGCTTGTTTCCATTCTGCTGGATTGTGTGCCTAGATGTGAAAAAGATCCCAGAAGACAAGTGTAGGCAAAAGTGTCAGTGATCAAACAAACAAACAAGCAAGAAAAAAAAAATGCACCATGGGAAGGGACAGCCTCACAGAGAGGCACGTCACAAAAGGCAATAAACACTGCAGCCACCAGAAAAGACAGACTGCAGAGCACCTAACAGTGAAAATCTATCCTTCCACCTCTCCCTTTCTGTGCTCTCAACAGGAGGGCAAGAGTCCCAGGGCAGTGTCTACCATGACAGCAGACAGAGAAGATGTCACCAGAGGAAATAGTAGACAATGTCTTCACTTCATCCCCAGCCCTTCAGGGTTTGTGACCATCCTTGAGTCCCATAAACTTTAACACATTTACCAATATGGTCTGTCCCTTCACGGCCAGCCCTCTGTCATCAGTCCTTGTACCCGAGTCCCTGCCTGGCAACCTTTATACCTGCTCTTCCTCTATGTACACATTCTTCCCACACCCTTTGTAGACATTTTAGTTCATAACAATAATTATTAAACCCCTCCCCACCTGTTTTTTTAGAGTCAGTTTGTATCTAGACATACTAATAAGTAAATATTTTTAAGGTAGTTTTCTCTTTAAAAATAGAAAACATCATCTGTTCTATGTTGCAATTATTTATAGATGACTTAAAGATGACTTCTGTAATGGTTTATTTATGCTCGGCCCAGGGAGTGGCACTATTAGAAAGTGTGGCCTTGTTGGAGTAGGTGTGTCACTGTGGGTGTGGGCTTTAAGACCCTTCTCCTAGCTGCCTGGAAGCCAGTAATCTGCTAGCAGCCTCCAGATGAAGATGTAGAACTCTCAGCTCCTCTTGCACCATGCCTGCCTGGATGCTGCCATTTTCCCACCTTGATGATGATGGACTGAAACTTTGAACCTGTAAGCCAGCCCCAATTAAATGTTGTCCTTTATAAGAAGAGTTCTTGGTCATAGTGTCTGTGCACAGCAGTAAAACCCTAACTAAGACAACTTCCCTTAGGGATGTTACTGGAAACTCAAACCAAGATGTGCTCATGTATGTATTTTTTATGCATGAGAAAATATATATTGATGGATGTTTTGGTTGTTTCATCTTTGTAGCATTTATGACCAACATGCTATAAATATGCACATTGGATGGAAGCTACATAGAGTAAAATCTGTGATTTAGAAATTTGAAAAACAAATGCTCATTTGATCTCCACTAGCACCCCATGAGTCTCTCATGGGTACTTTGATGGTCATATAAGCTAGCTTTTTGTCCCAATGTCCTCCTTTCTTGGAAAAAAACAATGAATTATTTTAAAATAATATGTATTGTTTTATTTGCTTGCATGAATGTATGCGGGCCATGTGCATGCCAGGACTTCAGATTCCTTGGAACTGGAACTAGAGGTGTTTGAGAGATGCTGAGTGTGTGTGTGTGTGTGTGTGTGTGTGTGTTGAAAACTGCACCTGAGTCCTCTGGAAGGGCAGTGCGCATGTCACTGCTGAGCCACCTCTCCAGTGTGAAGATGCCTTCTGTTGATAAGTTACAGAGAAGCCCTGTCACATGAGGGGTGTCAGGAAGATGTGGAGAGCTACCTGCCACACCCTCCAAGCACTGGCTGACAAGGAAGTGGCTAACCACCCCCCCTCTGTCCTCTCAACAGCCCTATAGGAAGTGGTCAGGACTCTACCAGAGGAGACAAAAATCCAGGGTGGTACAAACTGAAGTTGCCATTGAATCTCACCATGAGCTTGCAGAGACAAACACCAGGCAGCAGGGGAGGGAGGCATGCAGCCACAGGGGCAGAGCCTCTGATAAAACAAGGGTAAAACAAGGGTATGAACACTTCAAAACTGGCATCTCCTACCAAAAAAAGTGTTCTGGGAACCCCGTGTCCTGCTTCCCAAAGAGGAGCCTCAAGAAATACATTGTTTCCCACAGATGCTAGCTTTGCCATTATTATTTATTTATTTTTTGTTATGAAAAACCACCTCTCTCTGCAGCTTTGAAATAATGTTTTGGTCTCTACCCCAACCCCCGACACCCTGCCCCTGACTGCTTTAAAGTTTTTCTCAGTGGTTAACAGTCCTGTGCTTCTACTGTGCAAACATGCAATAATTTTCTTGTCTCTATGCTCAAATACCTGACGAGAAGCATTGTAATGCAGGAGTATATTTTGACTCATGATGTAAGGGTGGAGAGGGTATGGCACAGGAGTGTGAGCTGCTTGCTTACATCAGTGTACCAGGGAGCAGAGAGCACTGAACAAAGCTACTCAGCTGTCTCCTTTCCCTCTTATTCCACCCCAACCCCCAGCCTTTAAATTTTGTTTTGTTTTGATTTCTGTGGTTCTTTTTCCCTTGCCTCGTAGCTCAAGTTGCATTGAACTCCCAGTGACCCTGAGCTGCCTCCATCTCTCATTCTTGTACTCCATCTTGTCTAACTCTATCTGGTCAGAACCAGCTCAAGCTTCTACATCTGGCCAGCCCTCCACTAACCTCCTTCTACACTCTATGCCCACTGTTGGCAGCAGTGTCTGCTCCTGCCTGTCTTCTCATGACACTCCTGATCCCTCCAAGGGTACGATCAGAAATCACAAAAGGTGCCAAGGGTCCACACCACTGAGCACGCCATTGGCCCCTACCTGAGCCTCACAGTATCTCTTTTTCTCAAGGCTAACCAGCTCCTCAGAGGGTCAGGGCTCAGTACATTCTGTGCACTATCCTGTTCCTGCCCTCCGCTTTCAGCTTACTCCACCCTCAGCACATGGGGCAGCATCCTTCTGGGGCAGCATCCTTCTGGGGCAGCACCACTTCCCAAAGCATTGCAGCTGATCTTGTCCTTTGAGCAGAGACCCTCAGTTGACAGACAGGGAGTCTCTTTCCCCATTCCAGGGGCTGCTAAGTAGGTGAGAACATCATCAACACCCTGTGGGGTTCCCAGGGACTGGCAGGGCTCCACCACCACTGTAGGAAGCTTCTCCTGGATATTGCACAGGGTGCCTGACTCTGTGAACCCTGGGGGGAGCCCCTCTATATAACACCCCTCCACACTTCACCATCCTACACAGCTGGCCATCATAAGACCACTGGTCTCTGAGCAAGCCTCCTACGGAGTTAGCTGTGTGCAGGCCCCGGGGGCATAGACTGCAAAGCAGCACTCCAAACCTTCAGGTGACACCTAAGCCCTGCTTGGAACATGGACAGAAGCTGAAGCTGAGCTGAGCACATGTTTTAATGAAAGTGCACAGATACAAGAGCTTAGAGCAGGGGTCACAGCTTGGAGGAAGTTGGGGATCGGGAGTTAGGGAACCCCAGGTGCTGGCAGCCCCTGTTTTGGGAGTTCCCATATAAGCCCTTCTTGCTGGGTGTCAGGTCCAGGGTCCTGGGCAGGGTGCATGGGCCAGGGAGGGTAGCCACTGGTAACCAGGCAGCATCATGGGAGGAAGCCCAGAGACCCGGTACCATCAGGACAGGGACAGGAGGCAGATAGGACGGCTGGGAAGAGTGCTCTACTCGGTCGGGCACTCAGCTTCTGGTGGCCTTGCTGCCATGCATGGCTCTGGGCCTTGGTGGAAGCCCATTCTGCCCCACATTCTCAGCATCCTGAATCTCAGTGACCATCAGTCTCAGTGCTGTGTCTCCAAGACCCACTGCCTGCTAACTCAGTAGTCAGTGAGTGGGTACCGCAAGAAAATGAAGATGAGAATGATGCAGGAGGCTGCCAACGCAGAACTGGTGATGTTAAACAGCCGTGCTGTCTTGGCATCCTCCACAGCCCCGTTCAGATCATTCAGGAGCTTCTTATCCCGAACCTGGAGGTAAAAGGAGGAGGAAGAGAGGTAGAGGTCAGAGGAGGCAGTGGAGTGGACATCAGCAGAGAAAGGTCAGCCTAAGGAAGGAGGAAGAAAAGAGGGAGATGTCAAAGGCCAGCAGGGGAGGGAGGCCAGCAGATGAGGGGGCAGTGGTCATCAGAGGAGGAGGAAGAGAAGGAGAAGAGGCAGGACAAAGGCCAGCAGACCAAGGGGGATAGAAGAGACAAAGGAGAGGAGACTGAAGCCAATAATGGAATGAAAGACTCATCTTTGACAGTTTGTAAAGTAAATGGTGTCTAGTCAGAGAAGGAAATGGGGAATGAGGAACACAGGGACCCAGTGAAGGATGCTCAGGAATTTCTGTGTTGTTTTGTTTTGGTGTAATTTTTTTTTATAACAGCACAGTGAGTCTGAAGTGATGTAGTGCAAAAGGGAGAGATGACCCTGAGACACTGGATGCATAGTGAATAGGATGATGCCACCAGAGGCAGTGTGTGTGGGATGAATGACAACTGTGCCCACAACTGTGTTGTAACCAGTTGTGACAGTTCTACCTAGCTAGGCCTTAACCAGGACGCTGCGTGGACAAGACATCCTTGGAAGATGGAGACAGAGCTGCCCATTTCTAAGAGGCTACCTGGTCAGAGCAGGCAGGCCTTAGGACAGCCCCCTTGAGCTACATCATCCTTTGAGTGCCAGCTGGGCCTGATGCAAGCTGAAATCGGAGCCTAGAATGAGGTGTCAGATGAGCACAGGAGGAAATTGGGGTGGGGGTGGGGTTGCTCTATTCATGGACTGGGTTTGGTTAAAAGAAGAAAGGTGGACAGGAGACACTTGGACTGGCAGATGCCAGAATGAGGGAAGTAGATACCAGCGGCAGAAGTGTGGTGGGAGGGAGGAGGGATGGGTGGGAATGGGAGCACGACTAGACAGAGGACAACTGAAGCCTGTCAGGAGGAGGGATACTCCTGAAGAGGAAGGAGTGGTAAGGCAGGAACAAGGAGAAGGGGGAGGGAGATGTGGGATAGGTACACAGCAGTGGGCAGAGGGAGGAGGGAGGAGGAAGGGCAGGGCTGGGGAAGAGTGAGAGGAAGGGAAGGGACCCAGTAAAGGGCAGAGGGGTGACCCAGAATGTGGGTTGGACTGAGAGCACGTGTGGGGTGAAGGGCTGAGGGGTCTGGAGAGTAAAGGTGGGAGTGAGACTCTGCTATAGGAGGGAACTAACGTCTCTGTCACCAAGAAGGAGGCATGTCCCCATTTACTGAGCTCCCACAATTTGAGTGAAGTCATTGAGAAGGTTTTGTAATTTTTCTCCAGAAAATTAAATTCCTTCTTCCCTTGGATTTAGTAACAGCCCACTTGTCTTTCAACTGTAATGTAGCATCCTGTCCCCAACTGATGCCTGCAGCTGTGTAGACATACGGCTCTCTAGCAAGTGAGACTCGCTAGGTATCTAGTTCACCTATGGCACTGCAATCATTATCCAGGTGTTCTCTTTAACAACCAGCTGTTCTACTTCCTCTTGCAAGCCCTTCCTCCAGGCTGCAGATGTGTTATAGACACCCTGGGCCTGAGTTTTGCCTCTGGGATGCCCACGGGTAACTTCACACAGTCAATGGGCACTCTTGCTGTTCCAGGTGCTCTGCTCGCCTATGGTGTGGACACAGGAAGTGTCCACTTCACAGTGCTGGATAAGGCCTCATGGTTAGCCTCATGTATCTGGCACGTCGTCTTGCCTGTAGGCTCCTATGAGGAAGACAAAGATGATTCTAAAACAATACCGACTAGCAAGGAGTATGCAGAAGAGAGAGCCTCGGCTCACTCTTGCTCTTTCTTATTTTTAAAAGAAAAAATATATATATTATAGTTCTGGAGGCTAGACAACAGCTATAAATACAGAAATGAATATCAGCTGAATTGTGTGGATGGGTGTGTGTGTGTGTGTGTGTGTGTGTGTGTGTGTGCAGAGTAGCTAAGGCAAGTGAGGCCACTGGTGTGTTGATGTTTGTTAGACAGACAGGAGAGACAAGTGAATTTTGTCCTATGCTGGCTCAGTGGGATAGGTACACAGAAGGACATATGTCAAACGGGAGTAACAGGGTAGACATGAGTAGATGTTTGCTGTGGGTGAAGGTAGACGGATGAGTGTATGAATCTGTAAGTGTGTTCTGGACGAGAGGAGCGGGTGACGTGAGGAGACACCACATATGTTGGATATGTGGGATACAGTGGATGTTTGGACAGACATATTGGGCTATAGTACTGTGTTTTATGTAGGAAGGGTAGACACACAGTTAGAAGTGTACCATGTGGGCAGATGGGTTTATGAAGGTGTGTCAGGTGGCTGAACTGGTGTTTGGGTGGAGTAGTGCATTTTGTATCTATGGGATGGATTCCTGGTATGTGTGCTGGATGGGTGGAATGGGTAAACAGATTTAGGATTATGTGTGGGATGGGTGAAGGGAGAGAGGGAAGATGTTGAAAGAATATGCCACTGACTAATGAATGGGAGATAGGTACAGATTCTTAAACTCATCAGTCAATCAGCCAGTGAATCTATACTTAATGCCTGCCCTGGCATCCTGGCTGTGTAACTGCAGCTGGCCCTGGAACACAACAAGGAACAAAGCAAAGCCTCTGTCTTTGGGGTTCACAGACCAGGCAAGGACTCACAAGACACAAGGCAAGCAGGGAAGCTACCGGTGGGCTAAGGAGGCTAAAGAGCTATCTGAAGATTTCAGGGATGTGAAGGGGGGTTGATGGCGTCCTGGGAGAACCAATCTCAGCAGATATCCCAGACAGACTTCATTGAGTGGACATTTGTCAGGAGATAGTGGCAAGTTTGGTTCTGATGGGGTGTGCTCCAGGTGTTATGTGGGGAACAGTGTTCCACGACAGAGTGGCTGGGCCAGCCAGGGGCTGCTATGGGAGGACAGAACACAGACAGGTAGGGAACAAAGGAAGCTGTCAAGAAGATGTGAGGGGCTTTGTGAAGACTTCTCAGAATGACAGAGTCAGAAGAAAGGGAAGACTGGACAGACTCTAGCAGAGCAGTTGTCTGGGGATTAAGATCAGACAGGGAGGAGGTAGAGTCTAGCCTGGTGAGGGAAGGCTCATTTATCACATGGACAAGAGCTGTGACAGTGAAAGTGGACCAGAGGGTGGATCTGTGTTCAAGGCAGCACTGGCAATGCTGAGGTCAGTGTGGGAGATGATGATGAGGTGGCCTTGAGGGTAAACTAAAAGTGAACTGCATAAGGAAACCTGGGAGACACAGGCTAAGGCACTTGGTGGTGTAGGCCCCGGGCATTTGTGAGAGCTGCTTTCTGGACTACGGCTAGATGCTTGGAGAGGCAATGTTTCAGAGTCAGAAGTTCAGGGGTGAGGTGGAGAGATAAACATGTGAAAGGCACCGCCACATGGGTGGTGGTGATGGAACCACGTAGGGAGGGCACTGGGGGAGCTGGATCCACAAAGATGCAGAGTCCACATTCAAAGACCAGTAAGAGGACTTGAGGAAGTGGACAGAGGACAACAGGAAAGCTAAGAGGAACAAGGCAGGTGGGTAGGACTGGAGCAGAACACTAGAAAAGCTACCAGAGTGGGGAAGACACAGGAAGCCCAGTGGGGCCCAAGAAGTGACAGATGATGTCTGCTGTAGACAAAAGAATGAAGGGCAAGTAGTAGTGGAGAGAGCAGTGGGAAGCTGGGTGAGGCAGTCAAAACACATACAGGAAGAAGATGAGGACACTGGGTAAGACGGGCAGATGAGTGAGGTGATGAAGGACAGGCTTTTGGTGAATGATGGTGATCTAACAGATAAATCTCTAAAGGGAAGGAAGGAAGGACAGGTCCTCGGTGGGCAGACAGTGGGTGCTAACTCAGCCTCTGGTGCTGAAAGAGCAGGAAAGAGGAAAGGAGAGGAAGGCTATGGTGACCAAATGGTCAGGAAGTGCTGTGGGTATATACCTCATCAACATATACAATGAAGGTTCTGAGTCCCAGAGATGGGAGGATGTGAGGCCTTGGAGGGTGAGGCAGCACTCATCTAAAAGAGGCTCCAAGAGACCTTTGACCCCTGCATGGTGTGGGGACTCACAGAAATGTAAATAGCCTACAGTCCAGAAGAGGGCAGACCTGACTGGAGCCTGACCATGTTGAGTCCTTGTAAAGTTCCAGTCAGCCAAACTGTGGGAAAATCACACAGTGTGGAAATTTTTCACACCAAAGCAGGCGACTCAGACCAGGGGATAGAGGGGTGGGGATGACCCAGCAGGCATGAACACATGAAGGATGAGCAAGAGAGATGACATGGTGGGTAGCCAGAGGGATAGCTGAAGCAGTAGATACGTGAGTGAGGGGAGGAGGAGGGAGGCTGGAAGGCACATGGCCAGGGTTTTAGAGTGTATGAGGAAACATACGGGTATATTGGTGGACTGAGGAGTTAGACTAGACAGCGCAGAAAGGCGCAGGCTCGCTTGGATAGAAGAACAGACGAGCAGAGATGGGAAGGAAGTGCTAGAAAGCAGACAGACACAGGCTGGGGATGGAGCTTAGTTGGCAGAGTGCTTTAGCACTCATATAGCCCCAAGTTTGATCCCCAACACCACAAATGAACCTGAAAAACCAGCACTTAGGAGGCAGGGGCTGGAGGACTGGGAGTTCAAGGTCATCCTTGGCTACATAGTGACCTTGAGGCCAGCCTAGGCTAAGAGGAAGGGAGAAAGGGAGAGGAAAAGGAGGAAGAAGGAGATTAGAGGGGAGGAGAGAAGGGAGGAGGGGAGGGGAGGAGAGGAGAGAGGGGGAGGAGAGAAGAGAGAATATCCAAGAATGGAAGGACAGGATGGGCAGACAGGGACAGAGGAAGCCCAGAGTCAAATAAAAACAAGAGTTTGTGACACCCTGCTGGTGATCACCAGGGAGCCCATTGTAGCACTGTGTGTAGTTTCCCAGTTTTTTCCACGGCACTTACTTCACAAGGTCTTCTTATCATTAATTAAAACACTCAATTTAATCATGGGAGGTTGGGGCTGTGCCTGGAATATGCTAAGAGCCCAGCCATCACTTGATAGTTTGTGGTTGTCTTGTAAAGGTAAATGGGAGACTCAGGGGAGATAAAAAAGAGAGGGGGGAGAGACGATATAGATAGTGGGGGAGGGCAGGGGTAGACTAACAGGTGAACACGGAGCAGAGAAGGAGAAAGAAAGGACAACGCTTACTCCATGACCAGAATCAGGAATGTAAGTAGATGAAGGTGTGGCTGACAGTTTTGAGGAAGTGAGCAGCTCGGTAGGTGAGTTTGTTGGGCTATGAATGGCAGGAGCTCAGGGGCATGAGCTGGCAGATACACAGCAGAGATGAAGTGTGCTCCTCCCATGATGCCTCTCACCTATGAGAACGGCACCTCTCTCTCTCTCTCTCTCTCTCTCTCTCTCTCTCTCTCTCTCTCTC